GGGGGGGGGGGAACTGGCTTTTTTCATTTTCTGGCTGCATTTCCCCCTTTTACCACCATCATCTCACTTGTAAAACTGAGCCCCACCCAGCTTCTCTTTGTTTACACCCTCATCTCTTCAAGAGCCTGGCTCATTCTTTCTGCTTCATTAGCTGAATTAGGTAGGTGGAGATGTAGCTCCCATCAGTATGCGCTGCAGCCATATCACCTTGTTAACACTTCCAATACCCAGACAGATATGATGTTTACTTTGTAAAGTCAAATTAGCCTGACTCACAGAGAGCCTTTTGGCTGGAAAAATAGTTATCTAAAACTACCCATCATGACTTTCCCCAAAGATAGAACATAGGGCCCTCAAGTACAATTCCATCCGTCCCTACTAGCATCTGCTGGCTGTGCCAGCAAAAACTCATGGTCAAAAGTATCAAAGACTTCTGAGATTTGAAGAGAGCACTGCAGATATTCAGTCTTAATCCATTGCTAGGACAGGCACATAAACAGTGCCACAGAAATGCAGATAGACGCATATTTGGGTCTGTTGTAGCATTACAATCTCCTGCGCCCCCCCTTGTGGTTAGGGATGACTGTCACACCTTGCCTCAGCTTCCGCATTTGGATCTCACAATAACTTACAGAAAGACTTTTCTTTGTTTAGCAACTAGCTTAGAGACCAGTTTTATTGACATAAAAATAAACAAAAAATTTTATGTAGGACACAGCCTCTCCTTTCTGAATACTGTCTCAAAACTCTTCTGATTTCTCAGAATCTTCCCTGTAGGAGTCTAATTTCAGGCCTTCCTGCTTAGAAATGTACCTGTGTCTCAGTACCTTTCCTGCTTTAGTAGGCCACTCCTAGATCCTGCAGGCTCTCCATAGCTTGCTCTGGCTTTCTGGTCCAAATCCTTTCCCTTGATCAGCAGTATCCTGTAAGCCTCCAGAAGCTTCCTCACTCCTCTGGCTCTTTATAGAGATCAGTTTCCCTCTGTCATACACCACCAAGAGACTGTTAATGGCATAGTTGGTCTGAAACAGTTTCTGAAAGGGCCTGGTCCAGTCTATGTTAGGGTCCAAAGTGGGATAGACTAAGATAAAGAGAGATGAGAACTGCAGAATGGACCAGAGTTGCCGCCACCTTTCCCAAAACAGAAATGTGAGATACAGGTCAATGGTTAGCAAGATTTTGGTTTTTTGACTAGCACTAGCACAAGGACTCCTCTGTACGGACTGCTGGCACTTCACACTCCTCTCTTTGTAGGGA